GGGCTTTTCGATTTCTTAGGTTTTCGCGATTGTTACACATAGGAAATGAAACTGTTTTTCCGGATTTCGTGTTTCGCGTATATTTGTTTTTTCAAACAAACCGACGTTTCGGACCCTTTACAGGTCCCTTGGTCACGGTCAACCGTGACCGTGACGTGAAAAAACAAATATACGCGATTTCAATCCGGAAAAACTGTTTCATTTCCTACATATAGGACTTGTCAACTTATGTCTCAGGGCGACGGGCGCATTGGCAGTGCCCTTCAGATCTTTACGACTCAAAGCTCTGAGTGGCACTGCAACTATTAGGGACAGGCGTGTATCTTACCATCGTCACTTGATGTCAAAAAAATTGTGATAAGAAGGGTAATTTGCTTAATTATGAAATAAAGTTATTTGATACTCGAATTCTTCCAATAATGCGAACATTTAAGCCGGGTACTCATTAGTGAGCTGTAGCTGTAATGTGACAGATACAGTAACGAGGACCTAGTGTAGTGTGTACCTACGCGTGAAACAGTTTTCACTCGCTAGAATGAGTGTCTAATCTCGTTCTCCGTCCGAAAGTTAATAGACAATTTCAAGTATGAACCTGCATTCCCATTATGCGTCTTTGAATTTGGTGGAGTATTACTTCTTTGACAGTTATTTCCATACAATATAAACAAATTCACAATCAACACTTATATATTCAAATCCGCATATGAACTTACACATTGAATAGGTTACTTTAGATGCACAGTTCACACTTTATAACATTTATTGTTTTAATGAACAATTTCCCTCCGTCTAGTCATTTATTAGATCTTTCATTACAAATAACTTCTAGAGTTAGTACCTCTCGTTGGTTCTCATTGAAAACCAGCGCCTTAGGGGACTTAGGCATATGCTTAGTCGGCGCCATTTCACTGCTATGACAATTTTTTTTTTCGTGTTGTATTCAATTTATATTTGTGTCATACTAGTGAATAGAGTGTTTATCTATCTATTTACCTATCTAATTCTTTCGGACGGAGAACGGGAGTACAGGGCCAGGTTATCGTCAGCTCAGTTCGCGAAACACGTACGTATACACTATCGATTTTTGGTAACATGCAACAGTTAAGAGTTACAGCTCTCTAGTGAGGGAGTACCGGGCTTTAGACAACTAATTACTCATATTGACACATAGATCTCAATGTATTGACCACACGCGTATTGATGTCAAAAATCAATACCAGGGCCACTATTTTAGATCACGTAAATTGCCCCGTATGTTAAATTCGCTAAAATGTTCTAATGATTAAAGTAAATAGAGGTTTTTCCGACGTAGCGGTCAACCTTTCTTTGACCTACTTTTGGGGCTAATATAAAGCTTGTACAATCATCATATCTTCAGTAAATTGTTCACATATTGGTAGTTGAACATAAACACATAAAGGCACTCTTGTAATTTAGTCTTCAACAAATTTAATAGTGTGTAATTTTTTTGCAGTAAAAATGAAGATTACAGTTATATTCCTAACGCTAGGTGTGGTGGGTGTTACCGCAGTTCCAACACAAACAACAACCAATACACCTTTGTCAAATGACTCACAGGTAAAACAACACGAAAAAACAGAAAACAATGGATTAAGTGAACAAAAGAAAGTACCAAGCGATTTAGACTTGACGACTGAAAATGTTAAATATCTTGAAGGTAATGTGGATATAGTTATCGAAGAAATGTTTAAACCGGGAACACAAGAAAATGATCCAACAGCAGATTTTATATTTGAACAAAAGGGGAACCCGATCAATGATTTTATGCCTGAAGACAATAGTTCCATAGATGATGTTCCTGAGAGTCCTTTAACAGATAATAATTTGCTACGAAATGTATTGTTGGAAAAAATTAAAGATGAAGTCATGGAAACTGCGGAGGGATTTGTCCCAGTCCCGTTACCGTTCAGAAGAAGGCAACAAGCACGGAGACGTTTTGCCAATAGAAGATATTTTAGAAGAAATCCATATTTACGCCGGAGACCATACTTACGACGAAGCCCATACTTCTATTACCCTTATTATGGATTCTACTACCCTGGCGCAAGATATTACTGAAATATTGCTTGCCAACGACTAGTTGTAAGTTTATCTAGTATTTATAATCTTATACATTAAAGTCTGTAACAATAAAATCAAAGTGTTTCTTTTGAACATTTTATTCCTAAAAAAATCTCCCACTACATTATTAGCATAAATGCCTTCATAGGTTTATTTAAAGTATAATAATAATATATTACCGATCCAAATATTTACAATTATTGTAACAATTATTTGCTCGTTATTCTTACTTAAACTATACCACAAAAATGTACACTAATTTTAGTTACAATTTGTGGGGGCGACTGATGTTTCAAAGGCATCAAGATTACACAACTTTTTTGGACGCTTTGTGACTTGTAAACATTTTCAACAATTCTGTACACAAGTGTTAGACGCCTGATCCAGTCGACTGTGTTAAGATCATTATGACGACAAATACACATCATGAAACAAGTGGAACACAGTAGACAAAATGCAATGTAACGAATAAGCATTGAAGCCCGATTGAAATTGGGCAATTTTTTTTATTTAGCGGTGTTACCACCGCCCAACATAAACTGGACGAGCTTGCTAGTAATCATAGCATTTTTTTATCTACAGGTTGTACAAAATCGACACTGTTTGCATAGTATAATAAGATTTGTAGTGTAACTCCATACAAACGCCCGCCACGCGCTGTGTATGGACGTCATATTCGTATAATCTCGCGGTGGTCTCGAGTTGCACAGCGCGACTCGCACGAGCCATCAATAAACAATTGAGGCGTTCGCTTGGTTTTAAAAAGATGTTTTTGTTAAATTTATAAATGTATCGTTACTATTTACAACCTTGAATTTCATTTCTATTTTATGATCATACTCCCGTATAATCGAGACGTTAAGGCGCGACTCTGGTGTACACATTTGTGCAATACTTACATCTATATGTAAGTACTGCACTTGAAAATAATACATTGTGTATTAAGGGCGGCAAATAAGGAATTACGAACAAAACTCAATTAGAAGCGCGAAGTCGAAAACGGACGCCTTTCGGATTCGAGGTTCGTGTATTGACATGGACGACAACACACCGCTATCTGTGTATTTCACGCTTTAAAGATAATGACGCGCCGAAAAGGCTGGAGTTTCACTACTCGTCTTGTTTATTATACAGCGCAGGTTTTATACATCCAGAGAACTTTGCTTGCAATATGTATACTTACTTAAATTAGTAACCAGTATGTCACAAGGTCTGTACACAATATTAATATAGTTGTTAATTTTAGGGGCTTATGAGACATGAAATTTACATTTAAACGCTTAACAACTGGGAACGAAAGAAGGAACACGTAATTCCACTCCGTCGGGTCATAGTGTCTTTGAGCGAATAACCAAGAGGAGGGTAATAGGGGCAAGGAAAAGATTGGTGAAAAGAAAGAGGGCAGAGAAAAGAAAGAAATAAATATTAATATGGTTGGACAAGTACAAATGAAGAAAGAACCCTTATTATCAATAAACGAGAATTGTTGTATTGTTGCAAATTTCAATTAGTCACAGGTCTGACGATGTTAGTACCAGATAATATATTAGGAAAAATAGGGGACTACCAATAGTAACAAAGCAAGAATCTGCTTAAGTTACTGTTCTTCGCTCGCACGCCGTAACTTGGAGCTTTTGAAACATCGGGATGCCTGATTTATGGCAGTTATTTTATAATGGTTCTTTTGATATCATTACTAATTGGACTTGGTACACGTAATAATATAATAATAATTGTAGTCGTAAATCCGTGATATATTACATACGCCTACTACTAAATAGAAAAATTAATTCTCGTGGTCAATTATAGGACATGATTGACACAATGTCTTCAGTCTATTGTAAAAATATTTAGACAAATTTACAGATAAATACAATCAAAATTATTATTAGAACAAAAACAAAGTATTTTTGAGTTCAAACATTTTTATAAGTTATCCATTTTAATAATTTGAAACTATTTTCCCACTGATCCGTCTGATTCAATGAGAACAGTTGATGATGAATATGATTGTCTTGGGTCTATATTACGATGTACAACAATTTTGTCAAAATTTCAAATCAGTATAAGAATTATTATAAAGCTATACGAATTTTTAACAATATTATTAAGCCGATTCAAATATTCCCAAAATTGTAATGTCACGCAATATAGACCCGTTTATTATATGTATACGCTTAATATTATACAATGTGTTGATTTGCATTCTTGCCATATTTACAGATGTCATTCTATACCCGAATCTGAACACAATTCACTAAAAAAGTAAAACGAAAAAAAAATAATCGTAAATTCCTATTTTTTATTTAATTACGGTAAACAAATTTGATCTAAAGGTCATTGACTTGCACGGCATCGGCATTTGCAAACATTTTGAACAATGACCTTAATAGAGCAAAAAGAAACGCATTTTAGATCTATTTGGTGGTGGGGGCGGGTAGCGACGGGCGCAGTAGTGTCGTATCGAGCGCGCGATTGGTAGTTCAGTCGACCTTGCTTCCCGTACTGCGTCTACGTCACGCTGACATCCCGCATAGGTACATTCTACTCTAGTCTGTCACTAAATGCCATGTGGTTTAGTATGTAAACAAGAGTTAGTAGTGCAAAAAAAGAGTTGGTAGTACAAGTGCGTGTCTATTCTTATGGCATGATGTGAAACGTTTAGTTTACGCGGAGGATACGAGTGTCGAAGTTCCTGCTTTTAAAGTTGTGGAGTGTAATATTGAAACGAAACTCACGTCCGAATCTCTGCCTAGCTGGTGGTGACTCGGGTACTCGAGCCACCAGCTGTGGCTGTGGTGCTAGGTACTTCTAGCAATACTTTCATGTAACCTAAAGTTGGTAAGTACCAAATCTAAGTTACAAAAAACTTTTTCGAGTCAACTTTTCTAATTATTAATGTAAATAAAGAGTAAATTATAACAATACTAGTACATAATCATAATTTAAAAAATAGGTAAATAAGCGATCGAGAAAGATTACGTATCGCTCGGTGAAGCGGGTGGCGGGGTCACTGCTCTTGCGTGGTGCTTAAGACTCCGAGACCATTTTGAAAAACTTGATTAGATACAATTAGCCAGAATATTGAACAGAATATTTTTTTAATTTCTTAAACATGACGAGAATGTAAATCGACACACTGTATAATATTATGGTAATGTTAATTTGCGCGCCTTAATGCTCATAATTGGTCAGAAGCATCTACATTCTGCATTCTACTTGGTCTATGGACCAGCACCAGCGCCCTGTTTGGAAATGGACCAAGTTTTCCTGTTAACTGTTACCATAGATGCAGACGCGTGGACATACACTCATTTACCAGGTCCTACCAAAGCCTCGTCCATGAGTTCATCGTCAGTGATACAGGGGGAATTCGAGTGTGGAGAAGGCGCCACCAATGGCGAGGGAGCTGGACTTTTGACTAATTGCAAAGCTAGCGCAGGTGACGCAGGATATACTGGTCGTACGGCCACCATCCCTGAAACTTTACTACCTGACGATGACGAAAAATCTAATAACATCTCAGCTGCTTCTTGAGGAGTAGTTGCTCCACTCCTAGGTACTGATCCACTTGCTGGAGGCTTCATACAAGAGTCAGCACCTTTTCTGTCTTCCGTGCCTTTAGGTGTGGCAAACCCTTTGGACATGTCCGTCTTAAAATCGAGTGGCATCAACGGATATGTATTAGAGAAAGATTCTTTCGTATCATCTTTCCGCTGAGGACTTTCACCTTTAGATATACTATCTGATACAGCTTTGGAATATTCAATAGGATTAGATTGGTCCTTGACAAGAGGCACAGTTTTTGGACTTACAGATCCCATATTCAAAAGAGGTTTCGGCACATTAAGCGGGTATGCAGATTTCTGAACCGACTCTGATGTTCTTGAGTTTGGGTTATCGTAATGTGGAAATGGATATTTGTTTTGCTCAAGACTTCTCGTGAAGTCATTCACCGTAGATCGGCTATCGTATTGAGACACAGGACTGTTTTTATCTGGGGTTGTTTGATTTTTCAGTTTAGGTATTTGAAACTTGCTCGTATCCAGAGGTTTAATTAATCCTTCGACTAGGAAGTTAGCATCTTTAGAAGTCTTATATCGGTCGTTGTCTGCGTCGTCTCTCGATCCGCTAGGACTGGAATGACGTTCTGATTTGGATGAAAATATTGATCTCTCAGAGTTACCCATTAGTTTGGTTTTAGCCTTTTCCCTTTCTCTGTCTCTGACGATTTTCGCAAGATCTGTACTGCTGCTCTTAGGGGACCCTGAACTCGGTTTGGAAGCAGATTTTGATAAATTAATACCAGCACTGCTCGAACTGGAGGATTTTGAGTAAGGCACTTTCGAGACGTTGCTAGGATTATTCGATGGTTCAGAAGGACTCATGTTTGCTTTTGGTGGTGTGGAGCCAGGAGTCAAACTTCCGGACTTAGATGATTGCATTGCTTGAGTTTTCTTGGAAGCAGGACCGCTTATGACTCCTGGTTTCAAACCTGTGTGAGTTTTGGGAGAGCCTTGACTAGGTGGGGTCAGTTGTGGAGATGACTGTTTACTAGAACTCGAGCTGCTGTAGTTCAATTTCGAGCTGCTACTGGATGACTCTTTTGTTCTGGTCTTGTTTATTGTGATCTTCATACCATCTAAGCTAGGCTTGACCATGTATTCTTGATTTTTACTTTCACTTAATTTTGCGTTATTAGGTGCGGAGTTTTTTGGATCTGAAAATTTATTGGTACTTGACGAGCTGGATTTAGCACCGAGTTCGGTGTCCGTGCTGCAGTGTTGAGCAGATTTTAGTTTGTCTATCACAGCGCTTAGTGAGCCCTTTCTATTGCGAGCTTGACTCGGAGCAGACTTATTCACTTCTACATTAGGAGGTGATATCAGGGGCTCGGTTACAGGACTGTCACAGGACACAGGGGTTATTTCTAACTGCTTCAACTTCACCGGATTTTTAAGTTTAGGACTACTTCTACCAGAAGTAGAGAACGATAAACTGGAATGTTTCTTTTCTTTATCTCTGGAACTCATTGAGCTGGAGCTATAACTGTCTTTAGAAATTTTCTTAGAGAGATCATACCCTGTCGTTCCCGACTTGCCAGATGGAGAACCACTGGTTGCAGATTTTAACGCTGACATGCTGGGTTTCCCTGACCCTGAAGAGCTGTGCTTTGGAGAAGATATGCTGTGGTTTTTCGGACTTGAGTAACCTGGTAAGTGTTTTGGACTATTCTGTATTGGTGAATGTCTCGGGCTGCCCTGATGGCTGGATGTACCAGAGGGCTTTCCCATTCCTTTTAAAGGGCTAGGACTGGTTGACTTTGTGATCGATACGGAACGACCGTGAGTCGGACTGGGACTAAATTTTCTGAGTAAAGCGTTTGGGGAGGTGGGTCGCATGGGTGAACCGTCAGTTGGTTTGATGCTTACTGATACTGGTTTTGTAAGAGGGTCTTGCTTCGGCGGGACTTTTTCTGGTGGGCCCATGGGGTCGTCTCTTCGTCTTTTCTTTTTCTTCTCTTTGCTTCGTTCTTCACTAGATTTGCTTGACTTTTTTTCGGATCGGATTCTGTCATCCATAGACTTCATTTGAGACGACGTTATCGGTGTTATAGTAATAGAGCTTGGTAGAGCCGCTGGTGGTGCAGATGAAATTGGAATTATTTCAATTCCGGGACGTCGGTCTAAACAAAGCATTGACGAAAGATTTCCAGAGCCGGCACTCTGTGAGTTTGGAGTAGTTGACCCTATGGGTGTGATGCTGACTGAAGAAGGCATGTAAGATTTACCTTCAGTTAAGTCCAGGAGTAGATTCCTGTTACGCATTTCGGTGTCTTTACTTTTGAGCTTTTGCCTTTTGTGCTCAGACTTGTGAAAAGAATTCCTGAAAAATAAATAAGTTATGTAAAGTTCTTTGACAATCTAAACAGTTCACTATAAAAAAGCAACGGTTTAAACCTGTCATCATTCAATTGTGTGTGCTCCATATTCTGTCCCAGATTTGTAGGAGTTTTCTACGAAAATGTAAAGATAAATAAGACTAAGGAAGATTTGATAAAGGACAAACCTGATATCGTCGCTTTCTCCATCAATAGAGTTATCCATATCTGAAGACGGTCTATTTTCTTGACTACCTAAAGCGTCCGTAGCGTCCATGCCAGACAGTTCAAGGTCTGACGCAAACTCATTCTGCGAGGCTGAAGACTCTCGTCCTTCAATATCTTCATTACTGGAGTTGCTATTCATAGTGTTGTCATCTTCGTTTACATATTCAGAATTATCACTATCACTATCGGAATTTAACATATCTGTCAATACAGGTTTCCCCTTCTTTGGGTTGGAAACCCATAGGTCGGTGTCTGCTTTTCGTTTCTTTGATTTTCGATCCTCGATTTGAGCTTTTGATTCGCTTGGGCCTGAATCTTGGCACATCATAGAGAGGTGGTGTTGCTGTTGTTCAGAAAGGTAGGCACCTGTAAAAAATATGTTTGATTTATTGACTCTATAGATTAATGAACATGCAAATAGTGTGGCCTAGGCTTAACGAAAGTAAAAGAACGGCTCGCTCTACACAAATTTATTAGAAGTAAAAAATGAGAGGAAAAGAAAAGGCTGTAACAAAATACAATGATAAAAAAAGGTGCAAACAATATAAAACACCTACTACGAGTAGTACTAAACAATAAAGTCCGGGCACTTACCCCAGGAGGGCCTATATACGTATATATACCCAATGCTTTAAAAACAGTTAAATTACGTGAAGTTGAGTTTCACATGATGATTAATAAGCACGTCATCTCGATTCGAGAATTTTGATGGGAGTAATGACGGAACGAACCAACGTAAGAATAGTGGAAAGAAAAGGAATACGAGAATTATTCAAAATTTAGGTAAATGGCCAGGAACCTTTAAAGAGGGTGACAAAAAGGTGGGATGATGATGAAGGTCAGCGTCGTCACAATAGAAACAAAAAAGGTAAAATTAAACAAAACAAACTCTGATCAGACATATAGATCGTCATATTTAATCAATCATTAGCTAAATGAAAGAACGAAATATTCTTCATTGCCTTTTTGGTTCTTTCAGGTAATTTACGCCGTTTCGGTAAATCTTCTTTTTATTAAATAAAAATGACTCAATATATTTTCTGCTCGACCAGTAAATTTCTCTCCACTTCAATCATAGAGATGTAAGACACTTACCGCTTTGGTGAGGGTGCGAGATATTAGAGGGGAACATGGCTCGCCCGTGGGGGTGGGTCCCAGGTTCCTGCTTCACGTGGTCGCCCCCCGGGTCGAGCCCGCCCAGGCCACAGCTAAAATTTGAGTCCAGAGAAGAGTAGTTGCCATTCATCTGTTTCGTCGCCGCTTCGCGCTCCCAGATCTTCATTAGAGATCTGTTTGGGAGGATAAGTAAAATTATTTCACATAACCGAAAAACAATAATTAAATGATTCCATTGTACTCGAAATACGTTTTTGGTTACATACTTTGAGTAGCTATTGTAAACATCGGTCGACTTTTATGTCCCTTACAAAAACCGGGGTTTATTAAAATGAAGCATTTTTTCGGATCTAAATCGTGTATATTTGTTTTTTCAAATTAACCAACTTTTCAGAACCTTTACATGTCTCGGAAAAAGTTTTGGTACAGGAAAAGTGGTTTTCTTTGAAAAAAAGAAATATACGCAATTTAGATCGGAAAATCTCTTTCTTAGTAGTATTTCCGTCTTTGCGCTTTACCTAAGCGTAATTGGTATGGAATGCGTTTTCTGTAGCACTCTAGTGATGTATTCATCCAAGTGGTGATGCTGATGAGATGCATGGAGCGAATGCAGCGCAGCTCTAGGGTGTGCAGGGTCGGACAATTCGAGCTCTAGCGTGGCCATGCTCTCGTCCAGCGGGTGCTCGAGGGATACTGATATGTGAGCCCACGATAACGCACTCACTTCGAACATTGTTACGCTTTCGAGGTCCACACCTGGAAGGTAAAGTCGGATTGCGTAAAGCAAAGAACACATACGTGTAAATAATCAGTGATTACTTTCTCAATGCAATTTGGGTGTGAAATAGAGCGAGATAAATGTATTTCTAGCAACTTTTTTTGGGCTTTTATGTTTTATTCATACACTCATAGGCGACAAATGTGAAGCATTATGTACTTATTTCATGTATTTACCGTCTGTCTGAATCAGGTTTTAGAATATCGGTATTTTCAGGTACAGGTACCATTAACCTTACTACGGTACCAGTACTTGAGATACTACCGGTATGAATTACGGTATCGGTATTAATTATCTGGTATCATATAGGTTTCTGTGACGACTATAAACCGGTAAGAATTAAACTATTCCGGTACTAATTAAACTATTTAAAAATAATAAATGTATCTTTCTTTCTTCTGTTTTATATTAAATTGTTTAAATGCAATTTAACTAACAGCATGATTTACGACCGCAGCAGAAAGTAGCAACTGGCAATGTCGCGGGAACAACTATTGAGTACCGGTACATTTAGGTTTTTCATTTGTACCGGTATTCAGGTATCGAAATGGAAAATATATTAATTTTTTGTACTGGTAGTAAGTCCTTGTCTCAAGCAATTTAAGAAACTTACTCTGTTTGCCCTGCGTTCTAACACAGGAGGCAATAAGCGTGTTAAACAACGCCTGCTGTCGCAGCGCGGCCAGCAGCGGCGGAACGTGAGATGGGTGTGTGAACGGCACGCTGCCGACCATGGAGCCTTCCAAGCCACGGGTTTCGCACACGAAGTAGCAGTGCGTTTGGTCTGGTAATGACTGCAACACAATGAACGTTGTTAAGTAACATTTCGTCTTTTGTATTTCAAACAATTAACCTGGGTTTAAACGGGAAGTCCTATTAAAATTGCGTACAGAGGCAAATTTTTGTAGTACAAAATTATTCAAGTTTACAGTGTGGATAAATTTTTAAATACTTGTTTGTCTAGTTTATAGGTTCCCAAACTTAATAGGCTCACCTACCACTTAGGCAAGATAAAAAAATTTCAACCCCACCACTATAAAAAATAATTGAAAACACGTATTTTATATATTAACTTAACACAAAAAATTACGAGGAAGAAAAAACCTATATAATAATAAGTATTGTAGTGTATAGATAATACCGGTTTTTTCTTTCAAATGTGGTAGCACCCCTTGGACAGCATCAATGCCCCCTAATTGCTTCCACAGCCTTTCCGCCCCTCTAGGACTCTTCAGCGCCCACTGGGAGGCGGTAGAGACCACTTTGTGAAACTATGGTCAAGTAGAACGTGTATATGCGGATAAAAGTACTAACCACGAAGAGCCCTTTGCTGAGATTGAGTTCGATGTTCTTCCCAGGAGTGAGTTTGTTGTACGCCTGCTGCGCGACCAGACCAAGCATTGGCTTTGCGTTCGCCCAGTCACCGGACACTTCCACCTTAATTACAAATATTATATGAAAATACTCGTGGACTAGACAAATGAAAACTGCTACAAATCACGTGTCGACCACGAAAGCGACACTAAACGTGTGCAGACGTGTCCCAGAAATCTTTGCGATGTATACCTTGTAGAAGAACCTTGCTGGAACCGGAAACATGACTTCAGACGTTTTAAGAAGCCAAGAAGTGTGCAGTAGAAAAATCTATCATGATTCGGCAGGAGTACACAATACAAAGACTATTGCACACAAGAATAAAAACAAACAAAAGACAGGCTAAAACAGGCGGCCTTTTTGCTAGACAGTAATCTCTTCCAGGCACCCTTGGGGTGACAGAATATACTTAATAAAAAAAGACACATAGATCTAGAAGACTTTCATAATTTCAAGTTACAGTTTGTTTAATATGTATTGATGTCAGTAGTCTATATGTGGAGACGTATAATTAATTTATTCTTTGTGTCATATAGATTGATAAAGGTGTTATATGAATATAATAAAAGAGTCCATGAACTGTCTCGGTTTATTCTAGGGAAAGAAAGTAATAAACATTACCTCGGTAGTGGCATGTATACGCTTCGCAAGGCCAGCACACAACGGCATGGGCTGTGACAACTTTAGCGTGAAGCACGCTGGTAACATTGCGCTGTTCTGAGGCACTAGTTGCGCGTACACAGGGCCGCTGTAATATAACGTTACAAAGTTACAACAGTGTAAAAGAGTTTCTTCAAATACATATGTAGATCCCAAATCCCATGGTGTCAGTACGGTGGATTATGGCGTGAACCCTATCCCTCAAGGATACTCAAGGTCCAAACCGTGAATTGGCAGCATTTAAAAGCAAAAAATGACGTGTTAATGAAATATACTTTGATTGTGGTTATTTAGATCACCCTACCTTTTCCCTGCTCTCTGTCCACTAGCTATGATTGGCGACAACTGCAGCTTATTGGCTGTGGAACCTTCTAGAAGCACCAACGCGGAATGGCCGACAGGTGTGTGTGAAGGGGCCACTAGAGACGCTAGACCGCTTGACGCTTGAGGCTTGCCGATGGTTAGCAATTCGTTGGTTAGAGGCTGGAGGCCTTTATCCTTATCCAGGAGTTCGTAGGGAGATACGAAATAGGTGAGACGCATTGCGTGACCTGGGAAAAATAAATTTCTTTTTAGGGTAAACCTGGAAACAGATACACCGATGATTACCCAAAGTGGTTTAAATCGACCCTCAAGGGTCTACTTACGAAGGGTTCATGTCAGCGAAAATAAAATAGGGGGTGTATGAAACGTTAATGGTTAGTTAACTGCCTCCGTGACCGAACGGTTACCATGCGTCCGGCACGCAGAGGTTCCAGGTTCGATTCCCGGGCCGGGAGAAATATTTGTATGGCCTACACAGGGTTTCCCTACTGCGAGGCTATGTTGAGTGTGTGCATTATTATCAGTAACTATTAGAATGGGGGTCCACGAGAGTGGGACCCATTTAGGTTGGACGTGACAATATTTTGGCTTTGCAACATTGCACAGATAGTACCTATGTTACTTTCGTTGGTTAAAATTTGAAAACCTAAAAAAAAAATTTGGTAACTGTGTTTTTGGATGAAATATCTTTTTTAACTTCAAACGCAATATCGGGCGTTTGAAGCTTAGATTTATTTCTGGTTATAAAATTAGAAGGTATAATTTTTTAGTAATAAATTATTTCTAGTAACTCTTGAAATTCGTTTCTATTCAAAAATGCATATTAATGGAACGAGGATTACGAATTGTTGCTTAAAAAGATACACGCATTACCTATGAAGTAAACATTTCACAAGAAACAAGATATTCGCTAAGATAAATGAATATAACATGACTTTTTTTATTATTATACAGTTAAACTAGTTAAAGTATAGAATAGGAATATGCCAGTTTTTTTTACAAAACATTAGAAGTTGATGAATTTGTAAAAAAAAGTCCATATTAGTAAAGCAGGGAGTCTACGAAAATCAGATAAAGACAGAGACATAAGACAAAGAGTCTGGGGACCTCTGAGTTGGATCATCCACCTTAAAATGGTTACCACTTTGTATTCCATAAAACAAACCTCAAAACTCCAAAACGTTTTTACATACCTCCGCGTCGTTTTTGCAGAAAGCCAATTGGACTCTTATGGACCTGTGCCCAAGGGTCTTTAATGAAGCTCTGCAGCTGTCGCAGTGTACACAGATCTTCTTCCAGGCTTTGGAGCGCACTAAACGCTTTGCATTTTACCTAAAACATAATTGAAAGATTGAAAATATGGTTGGTATCAAAGGTAAAACAATATGACTTTCATTAGTCAAATGATAACGCCTGGATCGCGTTCTGAACATTGACGACCACGAAGGACTAAACTTGATGTTAGCAGTATGGGCGCCAGACGGGGTAGCACCGGGTTCGGTTTCCGGTAGCACCAATTTGGGAAACGAAGTTTTTTTAAATTGGGTCTGATCTGAGTATTCTGGGTAGCGCCTCGGAAACGATTTCATCGCTCTGGTACCAGGTAATGGTGCGGTTGTTTGGTGGCACATCAAGTTATACACTTTTATTTCAATATCGCCAGCGGCGCAACGGAACGAGATCCCTCAATATGTAGCTTGAAGTGCTGTCGTCTGTTTTTATTATTACTATTAAAATACTAGATTTCGATAAAACGTCTTTTAACTCCTAAATTTCCATGGTGTTGCATGTACAGTTGCATGGATTTGTAATTCTAGTATGCCAAAACTTCTGGAAGACAAGTGTGACGCTGACTTCTCACGGCCCGTGGTTTCATCGGCCTTGGGAATTTTTGTACATTACCCTACATACTACACATGTGCATTTAGTCTAAGTTAGATTTTGTCATCAATAAAGACTAACCTTCTTTTCAGCATTAAGCTGATACACAGCAGTCAATCCTTCGAGTTGGGCCGTGAAATCAGCGAAGTCGCCACGTGATATACACTGTACTAATTCCTCACAGCTTTGTTGTTCAATCTGTAATATTGAAATGGCTAAATTATTAAAATACTATAGGTAACATGTTAAATAACTTTAATTGAAGTGTTTTAAACTACATACACTGGCATATTTACCAGTGCGTGTGTAATACAATTATACTTAAGAGGCTAATACTAGAAGCCGGGTTTTAGGCAATTGCATACATATTATATATTATATTTTGATATATTACAGGTTTGAACATAATTATTCTGTTGGTAATTTCATTAAATTATAGGTACCTATCATTATAGGTGCTTATTGATATAAATCATAGTTTCCCACAGTGGTCCCTACCGCCCCCCCCCCCGTGGGCGCTGAAGAGTCCTAGGAAGGCGGTACGGTCCTGGGAAGCAACTGGAGAGCGTTGATGCTGTTCAAGAGGTACTACCGCATTTGAAAAAAAAACCTGAAATATCTATATTACACTACACTACGGACATAATTATTACAATTTCTTTTCCTTGTGATTTTTTGGGCTAAGTTAACATGAAAAATACGTGTTTTCACTTATTTTTTGTGGTGGTGGGTGATGAAATTTTTTTATCTTGCCCGAGCGGAAGGTGAGCCAAAAATTTGGGAACCTATGGTATAAATAATTTAATTTTTTATTTTTTCACAACAATAAATACTTATTGTTCTTTTATGTTGCATATTTTCACACTTTGATACTTACCTTAAATATTTTTCATGCAAATTTCAGGTTTTTATTTTCTGTACTATTTTCTATACTCTAGCCAAATTCAATGTAGATTAAATGTCAACAAATAAAAACATGTGATTTTTGGGGTTTTTATCTCAGACTCTTTCACAGTTATCATCAATTTCGAAATTTTCCTACAAAATTCGATTAAATTATGGATAATACTAAATCTTGAAGCTATGTTTATAATGAATATTATTCAACAGAAGTTTCAAACCACCTAAAAATGACCACAAATTAATTATTTGCAAAACTGTGTCATCCCTAGTAACTTCTTGATTTGAAGGTAGAGATGGCAAACATTCGAGTTCTAGTGGTAATTCAAGTTCAGAATCGGAAATAGATGCTGGATGATATAATATGTAGTAAATTAATATCAAATAAAATCTTACACCTCAAAATCTTACATTACAAATCTTCACCCGCTTATACATATCATAAATTTATCCTTTGCTGATGGCCTTTTTCCGGAGCAACTGAAAACTTGTGTCGTCAAACCACTTTTTAAGAAAGGTGATAGGGAAAGCCCAAGTAATTATAGACCAATAACGTTAATCCAAACTCTATCTAATTTATTTAGAAAGGCTCTACATGGTAGACTAAACACATTTTTAGAAAAACATAAAATTATATTCCACTCTCAATTTGGATTTAGAAAAGGCAGCTCTACAGCTCTTGCATGTTTTGAATTTTTACGCATCATAACATAAAGCATGAACGCCTCTACTCCTGTAATGTCAGTCTTCCTAGATATGAGTAAAGCCTTCGACTTTGTTGATCATTCCAAGCTCCCACACAAGCTTGAAATATATGGCATTAGAGGAAGAGCCCTTGATTGGGTAGAAAGTTACTTAACAAATCAAACACAATTTACAGAAATAAGTGGATTTACAAAAAACAAACACAATAATATAGTTGACAAACAAACCTTTAGATCACACTTAAAAACAAGTAATACTGGTATTCCTCAAGGTAGCGTCCTCGGTCCTTTACTATTCCTCCTTTATATTAACGACCTTCCACATGCTATTGACCATAAATGTATAAAATTTGCTGACGATACAACTCTTATAATAAAATGCGAAAACATAACGACGTTTAACACCGACATAAATAAAGCACTGACAGATGTAATAAGTTGGATGGACATTAATGACCTACGTATTAATATAATCAAACCTAAATTTATGACATTTAGATCATATAATTGAAATCCAAAAAAATTGTTTGAGACCAAATAGATTTGTTTACGCTCTGCAAAGACTAAGGCAAATTGTCTCTCGAGAAGCGGCGCTGACGGCCTAACACGGCTACGTTTAGTCCGTACTCAGTTACGGTCTTATACTATGGGGCAACTCAGTAGATTTAGAAAGAGTGTTTAAGGTTCAGAAGGAGTGTATTCGAGCGATCTGTGGTGCGCGGTTCGATGATAGCTGAAACCGTTGTTCAAAAAACTAAACATACTGCCTTTGCCAAGCATGTATATAATAACTTTCAAAATAATAATAACTTTTAAGCCGTAAATTTGTTATTGTAGTTTTAATCCTTTTTTATTTTTTTTTTATTTTTTTTTTTTTTTATAAATAATAACGCACACACTCAACATAGCCCCGCACTAGGGAAACCCTGTGTCGCGGGTGCCATGGACACACACATAGACAACCACAAATTACACCCAAACTCACGAGAGAAATAATTGTAGGCCATACAACTATTTTTCCCGGCCCGGGAATCGAACCTGGGACCTCTGCGTGGCAGTCCGGCATGGTAACCGTTCGGCCACGGAGGCAGTTAAATTAATCCTAGTGCCATTGTTTTGTTGTAAACAATATGAATACTTTTATTAAAGTTAGTTATTACTGTAGACTGATTTTTACCTTGCCTTCATGATGAATCTTGACATCCTTCACTGTCCCATTAGATTCTACAAGTATCTCCAAATAGAACATATCAGATGATATGAAAAGGTTGACTCCAGATGTTCCCACCACAAATTTTAATCTGCAATTACATTTTTTATATTAATTTAGAATGTAGATTACAGTTATTATTTGGACATACTGTCGTTATACTGCGAAATCCAATTGTTTGGAATTTTTACAGAAAATGACTTATCTATTGGAAAAAGACACCAAATTGGAAAGGACACAATTGATTATGTAAAATGTAAAATTTACATAGTTTTGGTAAACATAGATAGATAGATAGATAGATAGATAGGTAGTTTATTTAACATAAAATATATTCCAGCTAGAAGACGTCGGTTCGAGTCCGGCCGGATCGAAGGACTTTTTTTCTAAGTGTTCGATCTTTGCAATAATAATTATAACAAACTAGTGGAGTAATTTCACATTAAAAAAATAATTGAATATCAATTCAATAAAAGTTTAAATACAGTGAATAGCGACATCTCTAGCCGGGGCTGGTAGCTGTAAAAGTATCTAACTGGGTGATGAAATAGTTCCATAGATTTCTCATAGATAGCGCTACGGCAAAAAAGTCGTTGAACAACCAAACACAAAGATATGACAACAAGCACATAGAAAAATTCTTTAGGTCCGCTGGTTCGTTCGTGGCTTAGTTGGCATAGTGTCTGGCACGGTTTGCTAAAAGACGTCGGTGCGAATTCGGCCGGATCGAAGAATTTTGTTCTCAGTGTTCGATCTTCGTAGTGATTATTATAAAATATGAAATCGTCTGTTACAAACTAATGAGGATAATCTTGATATTTGTAAGAAATATTCATAGTTACAATTTCAATTTATTGCAAACTCAATTTTTTAGTGAAATAATTGTTTTTTGTAGTGTAACAGATAGAACAACAGTAATTATTACAAATACAGTAATGATGTTTTGTTTTTATTTATAAATGAAATAAAAGAATGAAATAATGAAGTGAATTACATATTAATACAAACCATAAAATAACAATGGAGAATAAAAATTTCATTGTTTCTTAAAAAAGATAATCATTCTATTTTAGGGCTTGTTTCAATTTTAACTACTGTATTATAATAGAGTGATTCTATCTAAAGGAAATTTTGTAAGTCCAAAAATTTGACAATTAAATAATAACAAAGCCTAAAATGCCAGTAATATAGAGAATATATGTAACAGAGTAATGTATTTACCATTATAATAATACCTATGGTTCCACCGAATAAACATATCACATTTTACTGTATAATATAATCGGCGTAATTAAGTGTGGCAATCATTATAACAATACTGAGCAAGACGATCACATTAACTACCTAGTCTCAAAGTAGGGAATTTCTTATTTCATGATTACCAGAGCAACGAAATTAACTCTCGGGCACTAAAAAGAACAACTAGAGCAATAAACGCACAATGTCCTGTATTTTTATTTTTTTATAATATCAAGTGACAGGAAGAACAAGTTGTGCACCTGATAGTAAGCTGTTCATAACAGTTGCAGTGCCACTCAAGAGCTTTTAATTTAGACATAAGAAGTCCCATGTGCTTGTAATTTCACCAGCACCCTTACCCTTCAAAAC